TACTATATGTACAGCTTACAATTGTTTAATAAAGCACACATAACTAGCCTGACAGAGGGTTTAAAAAAAAAAAAAAATTAAGATTTTTTTTTTATTTTAATCAAATAATAAAATTAAATAATTATTAATTCAAATTGAACTTCAATTATTTGATTATATTTGAAAATATATTTTTTTAAAATTGTTAAAAAATATTATAGTTGATAAAAATCTTTATTATAATCCTTAAATTAAAAGTTTTTATATTACTATATAATAAAATAATTGCTAATAAATATAATTTTTCAATAATTCTACAGTAATAACCTGTAGGCAATAATTTTATTAATTAGAGGAATTATCCAAATTAGTAAAGGAATGAAATATCATTCCCTAGGTTGTATTTAGAGAAATAGTTTTTTTGATAATGAGTGAATCAGTATGTGAAAGTCACAACAATTTGTAAATACCTAACATATATATAATAAAGATATGCTATATTGATCAGACTATGGGTTAAAAAAAAAAAAAAATAATAATAATAATTTTTCAATAATCAAAAATATTTATAAATAAAATTTTTTTAACTAGATATAATTTTTTAAAAGATATAATATTAAAATAATATTAACTCAATTCTTATTGAATTATATAAAAATTTAGGATTAATTATAAGTTATCAATTTATTGCAATAAATATAAAATTATATAAAACTAAATATATTTTTGAAAGTAAAGATTTTTTACAAAAAATAAATCTTCTCAAATAATATATAAAAAAAAATTAAAATTCAAAATAGATAAGTTTCTAATATAATCAATAAAAAAAATATTTTAATAAAGTATTTCTTATTGAGAAAAGATTTAAAAAAATAGATCTTTGAAAAAAAATTAAAAAATTTTTTTTTTTTTACTTATGATCAAGTCAGTACTGTATATTTATTAATCATATAAAAACTGACAGAGATACATAGAACAATTGCATCATAACTAAACTAAAAGACTTGTATTAATATACTTATCAATAGCTTTAATTCTCAAAAGAGCTTTAGCCTCTAAGTGTAATTTTAGGAACAATATTTCATTTTGTGATATATTTTGGATGAATACCCTTCTAATTTATTCATAATTGCTAGCAGGTTGTTATTATTTATTATTCTTCAAAGAACTGAATTCAAGAAACTATAAAAGAGAAAAAGAAAAATAAAAGGAAAAAGGAATATCTAAAACTGTACAAATGTATTACATGAAAAGAAAAAATAAAAAATAAAAAATAAAAATAAAAAATAAAAAATAAAAATAAAAATGTTTCATCTTCTCTAAAGGATTTTTGCTAAAAATCTCTTCTCATTAGGAATCAATTCTTCTGAAGGATTTTTCTTTTTTCTAACCATCTAAAGAACTTATTCATCTGTACTTTTGTTTATTTTCTTGTGATGGTCTGAGGTACTTATTGCCTATTTAGATCTAGTGTCTTGCTCAATACTTTCTTTCTTTCAGTCTGATTTTATATCTATCTATGTAAAAGAAGATAACTAATAATGAATCTCAGGTTCTTATGTAGCTTTTCAGTCTTATTGAGTAACTTCCAATATTTTCTAGCAGCTATGCCTAGTTAATGAAATTTTATTGATGGTTATCTTAATTGCAATATTATTATACAATGTCTGAAGAAATACATTCCCAATCCTAAAGAAGAGCAGTGTTTTACATTCTTTTACTTTTCAGTTTTATAACCTAATCCAGATAAGGAAATAATATCCTTCATGCACTTTGTCTAATTGGGATGATAAAAAGTTGAAGGCTTTAATTTAAACAAATAACTATCTTTTTATTATCTAAGAAATTTAATACCTATTCTAATAGTCTTATGATTTCTTTACTTCAGTTAAACTTCATTTAGAGAAGTAAAGAAATTCATATTCTTGATTATTTTTTTTTTTATCAATAACATTATCAGAATATGTAGATATGGCTAGTGAAACCTTATTTACATTTTGTTATCAATATGTTTCATATCAACTAATCAGAAGCCAAGTGATGTTGTATTATCAGAAATTTAGGGTCAAGCTAAGATAGGCAAAATTTTCTCAAAAAATTGTGAAAAACTATAGATACTCTAAAAGAGTAAGAGACAGTATATGAAAAGAGAATAATAAGTCTTTTTCTACCTAGAAAACTTTTATCTTTATGTTATATCCAACTCTGGATAAAGATGGATTTCTAAAAGGGGAGGTAAGGACAAAAGTCAAATGTTTCTTACTAGGAAACTTTAAAATTTTTAAATTAATAACTATAAAAAAACTATTCACAATTATTCTCTATTATTCAAATTATTGATTTATAACATTTCCTGACTTTTGTCTCTATTAAAGTAAAGAGCTATGAATTTTGTCCCTCAAAAAGGAACATGAGTGATCTGCAAAATTTTATATGCTAAATACTTTAGGGATCCATCATTAACTCTAGAAGGTGATATTCCATTAGTTGATCTTTTTATTTTCTAAAATCTTCTTGCCTTTAGTAGAGAAAGTATATGTTTGAGTCTATTTAGACCATTAGAGGCTCAAGTTTTTGCTTAAAAAAGTTTGTAAACAAGTAAGAAAGGTAATAGTAATTCTTAAAGACAAGCTTTAAGTTATTTTAAGAAAAGTGGAAAAACTATATTAACCAAGAAATATAAAAACTTCTTGTAAACATCTTTTTTGTATATGGTCAGAGGATTAGTAGAAAGAGTTTAAAGTTAAAAAATTTTTTATTTTATAATACATTTATATATTTTTAAATATTTCTCTTTTTTTTTTTTTTTTGATCCATTTAATTTATAGTTTTCTGTATTTCAATAGAATATATAATAGTGACAATCTTCTGATAATAATATTGCATATAAATTAGGAAAGCCTTATACAAAGTCTATTATGGAGCAAAATATTATTCCCAAGTTCAAATTTAGAGGTTATTATTGCCTATAATGAGTTAGCTAGGTTTTATTAAAAAAGTGAAAATACAAAAAAAAAAAAAAAAAATCACAATTTAACCTGACTATTGGTTATGCTCACTAGAGAATTGTGTTAGTTCGCATAATCGAAGGTGGTTATCACGTGAAGTAGTCGGTTTTCGAGTCTGGCGCATTTACGCATTTACCCTCTTACCCTCAAAATCCCTAATACGCCGATATATCACCTGATCACACTTATTTATGGACGTCACCCGTTTATAATTCTCCTTGAGACAGAAGTGATTCTTCTTAAACATGTCGAAAGAACAAACCACTACCGGACTAAGATCTCGTCACGCAAGATCTGACTCTAACACGGGGAGTAGGAGCGATAGTCGATCAATTAGGCCTAGTTCCTCTCACACATCCCCAAAGACTTCTAATAAGTCTTCTGCTAGGTACTCTCTACGGCGTTTAAGTAGAAACGCGTATTTAGACAGGGTTGAAAATATGCTAGTTTTACCAAAACAGAACTTTCACAACTCCCTCATTTAATAATTTAATGCAAAATATTAATTTGAATTCTATAGTCGAACAAGCCTTTTTCTTTGCCCCTCGGGTGGGGTAGCATTTATTTTGCTTTTTGTGGTGCGTTTGAGTGCCGCTTTCTTCTCAAATATAGCGGACTGCGATGAGGTATTAAACATATATGCAGGAAATGGTTTGTGATGCTTCAGTCCTTTTTGACGCTCGTTTACTTACAGGTGTTTAATTATTGGGAGCCAACTCATTACCTACAATACGGATATGGTATGCAAACATGGGAGTATTCACCGGAATACGCAATTAGAAGTTGGGCATACATCAAATTGCACGCAATTATCGGTGGCATATTTGACTACATATTTGGTCATGATAAGGTACTTGAACTTTCAATGAATTTTTGTTAATCTAGCCCTAATATTTTGTGTAGTACTTGCCACAAATAATCTTGATTTTAACAGATAAAAGTTTTTTACGCCATACGCGTAATATTTGCTACACTATGCGCATTGTCCGAGGCATTGTTTTACGTTTCGGCAGTAAGCAGTCTAGGGCCACGTGCTGGTCGTTATTTAATTATAATTCTGTTATTTAGTGCGGGAATGTGGAATGCATCTACTGGTAAGTAAAAGCGAACATATAATGTCTTTTATTCTACGTTAAATCAGAATTTCAATAGCATGTGTTTGGATCTTATTTAGCATATCTTCCATCATCTTTCGCAATGTACACGACCATGGTTGCTTTTTTTTATGCTCTGAGACCAGTTTCGACAGGGTCTGGGTGGAGAATCTATAAAACTATATTGTGGGTTGGTATAGGATCACTGTTGGCATGGCCTTTCTGTGCAGAAGTAGGAGTTCCTGCTGCGCTGGAAGAATTGATACTTAAAACTAGTGGAGCAAAAAGATTTGAGCGAATCAAGCGTCTATTGCTGGGGGTTATAATATCCACAGGAGTAGTCTTGGTATGTTACTATTTTAGTTTTGGTGTTCGAAGACTTACTAAAATCATGTTCTTTTTAGACACCAATCACCTTGATTGACTTTTATTATTATAAACAATTCAATGTTATACCATGGAACATTGTATCGTATAATGTTTTCGGGGGCAATGATCGAGGTCCTAGTCTATATGGTATTGAACCTTGGTATTATTATATAATGAATGGTCTCTTGAATTTCAATATTCTATTCATTATGGCTTTTATTAGTTTGCCGGGTTTGGTATGTGCGCTTGTCGATAATTATGTCATTAATATTTAAAATCAACTGATAAATTTGTATCATAGCTGGTGACTTATCTTGTTGATCCTAAGCGCATCGTTTCTTCAACCACATCTGGGCCCGCTTACGCTTATCTCCACCTTATTTTTCGATTGATGCCTTTCTACATATGGTTCTTTACTTTCCTCATGCAACCTCATAAAGAAGAAAGGTTTTTGTTTGTTGCATATCCCCTATTATGCTTAAATGCTGCAGTCGCGATGTTTCTGGTTAGAGGTTGGTTCAACAAGCTGGTTTATTTATTATCAGAAGGAAATATGCCCTATGTGGTGAGTAATTGAAATTAAGCGCATTATAATCTTGGTAAATTAATATTGATAACATTTATCATTTACTTTGAAGAATGCCAGAAGGAATTACATGAAGTTATTTACATGTAGTATTCTTTTTGTTTTTGGATTGATTTCTGTTTCACGTGTTACGGCTCTTTATTTCCACTACAACGCGCCGATGACTATTTATAAGCACTTTTACTACGTTGAGATCCCTCAACAAATTGAAACACGCAATCTTCAACTGAATTTTGACAATCCTATAAATCTCTGTGTTGGAAAGGAATGGTATCGTTTTCCGAGTCATTATTTTTTACCGGACGGTGTTCGATTGAGGTTTCTAAAATCAGATTTCGGTGGACAATTGCCAAAATATTTTTTGGAAAATAATTATACTGACTCCGAAGGAAAAACTAAGATAGGCAGTAAGCGTGACGGAACATGGAGGACGCCAGAAGGATTCAACGATATTAATAGAGAAGAAATGGATAGATATGTGAGCACAGGTTTAAATTTATCAAGTGACAAATATCTTTTAACTATTAATAACATTGTTCATTATAGGTCAACGTTGAACAATGTGATTATATCGTCGACCTAGAAGTAAACCACACCGATACATCAATCAAGGAATCACGCTATGCAACCCAAACTGATCGATGGGTCGAAGTTATATGTAAATCTTTCTTGGACACTGCAAGTTCGGAAAGGTTTTCTCGAGCATTTTTTCTCCCGCCAGAGGTATGGCAAAGACTGAAGTCGATAATTAGATATTTACCGACACGAATGGTCAATAGCGATGTGGTAAACAGGTTAGGAACTTTGAAATGGGGTGATTATTGTTTGTTAAGGAGGAAATGACGGGATGTATTGTAGACGATTCAAGAAGAATCCATACCATGAACAATTCAAATTTTACGTGCTACAATATTTTCGGACATTCTGTATAGATTGTATCTGCAATTTGTAAATATACCTAACGAAAATATATATGTATACAGTGTGGGACGCTTGCCCTTGAAAAAAATTATTTTATCATTTTTATTTATAAATAAAAAATTTACTAATTATAAACTTTATATAGAATATTACTTTTATTAATATAATGAGTAAGTTCACTTAAGAAATTTTTTAAATTGTAATACATGAATTTTAGAAAATTTTAATTTGAGAAAAAGAATATATGGATTTATTAATTTGTGGTTTTCTCAATTAAAACATTTTTATCAAAATCATTTAATTAAATATACTGAAAAAATAGAATAAAAGAATAAATATTGTATTAAAACTAGATTTTTGCAAATTTAAAATATTTTTTTAAATTAATTTTATAAATTAAAATTGCAATAATATAATTTGAATGCTATAAAAATATTCTATTGTTATTTTTATAAACTAAAATATTTATATTTAAAATTTTTATTAAGTTTTTTTAGAAATATTTATTATAATGAAAATATATAGGATTAACAAAAGGATGAACTGCATTGAAAACGTAGCCACGTCCAGTTTAATAAATTGCTCGGTGAGTTTCTTCCACCGAGTGTGCATGGTATAAAATATTTTAATAGTCTTACAATTTTCTGATTTTCATCATTTTTCATTTTATTGTGTGAATGCTACACGAAGAAAGTCGAGTATTCGAATATAAAGGACATGATGCCCACACATTGATAGAGGCCCCTTCGAAAAGCTCTGCGGATAGACAGCAATACCTTATCCTGTAAGCTTGGTTTAGTGTACAGTATCACCACGAATGGATTTATCGTAATCATGACCCTTTCTAATACAAAGTATAGAAGACGTTTGAATTTCTTGCATTGAGGACTAAGAGATATTATGACAAGAAGTGAATCGTGTAACATTGTTGGTCTACTCATTAGAATATCGATCAATCAATAAATAGAATATAAATTGGTGTAAACAAATTAAGAATCGGTCGTTTCAACTGGCGCTTTCGCGCGTGACTACAAAGAGAAAAATTCGGTTAGAAAATCATAAACAGGAACGCTGATCACTCGAGACATATAATTACATCATCCAAATCTTTCTTCGTTTTGTCTTCTAAAGATCTTATGTCATTCATGGTCAACCCATACCACCCATCAGTCCAACAGAAAAGTTGCCTATGAAATTTAGTAAATAAGGACTGCATAGTCTAAGAAGAATAAAAGAAGGATTAGATGGTAGCCGAGGTAATCAGATAAGAATGAACTGATTGGCTTACACTTTGGATAAATGCTTCGATTTTACTTTGAAGTCCGAACCACTTAAATTCTACAGTCACAAGTTTATAACAAGTCATAACGGGTTCAACCGTTTTCTAAGAAAAATAATAATTAATATAACATTATATATATTTTTGAGTATGACATCATAAATGATCGTAGTTACAATCCAATCATCTTTCAGTGGACCTCGACCGGTATTCTTGGAGTGATACAAAGTGGGATCTTGGTTCTCATCATAATCCTTTGAGTCAATCGGATCATTAGCAATATCAATTATCACCACTTGACGTTTCTCAAGCAAATCTGGGGAGATGTTCAAGGCCTAAAATAAAGAATACGACTAAATAAGTTGACCATTTAAGAACGAATCGATATATGAAGCCAAATTACTTGCATTCTCAATTTCACCGCGGCTATTATCGACGTGCATAGTTTCAGTAACTAGTTTAAAGTTTTCCTTCATGTATCCATTCTGATTATTCAAGGAATTGGTTTAATGAATGATTTAACTTGGTCGTTAAAAATACATAATACCTACCGTCAAAACTCAATTAGAGAACAATGAGTCCGATAAGATATATAAATCATAAAAGAGTTATTGAATTCGTTCACTTCAACTTGACTTCGAAATGGAAAAGACCAATACCTGTCACACAGTGTGGATAAGCATTCCATGCCTCTTCGTAAAGTTCGAGAGCTCCATTGGGCGCCAGCACTCGAATAATTGCGGGAACCTTACTACATGAAAGTTCAAAATTACTCGCTTCTCCTATCTTTGACCCTATCGATGGATGTTTTTTTTTATTGCTTTAAATACTCGAGATGATATCAGACCTGGAGAGATGATATACTTTGTATGTGTATTGTCCTTTTCCTTTTTCATTATCGTACGGTTCATTTTTGATCACTTCGACACCTTCTCCTCCGCCAGTCTCGGCTTTCGATGCTTCAGCTACAGCATACAGTTGAGCGACCTGTGATTTTTTAAGGCTTTGCTTAAAAAGTAATTTCGAACAAAGGGAAAAACGAGGGAATAAATTTCGAGAGATTACTTGATACTCGTCGCGCGTGCAATTATTAATTACTCTATACTCTTTTATCAGCATTTCTTTTATCAAGAGAAACAACGTAAATCGAATACGCACGTCGTACGTACAAACTTTAAGGCACACGTGAAAAGTGTTACAAGTAACGTGCGTATATAACTGGTCGCAAAAAATTTTTGAATTGATCTCATCTAAAATTACGTAAAGATTTTATCATAATTTTGAATTATGCGCGAAACTCGCCGTAAAAAGGTAAATCATTTTCTTGATATTAAGCTTAAATCGTTTTCATTTGTTCATTCATCCTTTTTATAATAAAGAGAAAAGGCATCCAAGAAGATTCGGATAAGCAGGTTATTGAAAATGCAAATAAGAAAACAAAACGAAACAATATTATATACACGGAACCCAAATTTCCTTCGCGCAATAACTCAGGAAGGATGTACTCTGTGAGCGTTGCTCTACCAGGTTCAATAATCGAGAACGCACAGTCTATAGAACTAAAGACATACCTAGCTGGTCAGGTAATATTGACTTGTCCACATAAGAACTTAATTTTAACCGCAAACTTACTAAAGGGTCCTCGAAATCTTATAGCTTGCCCGAGCATTTGCTATTTATAATGTGGATGAAATAGTGATTTTCAACGAATCAATGATTCCACGAAATCAAAATAATGGAATTCGACTCGAATCCGGTACAAGAAAACGGCATGATGATAATATATCATCTGACCCGAATGTTTTTTTTGCCAGAATATTGCAATATTTGGAAACACCTCAGTAAGTTTGATACTAAGAGTAAGTATAGTCGCGAAAATTAATTATTAAATTAACATTATGTTCAGATATTTGCGCAAAGACTTATTTCCCGTACATCAGGACCTTAAGTATGCCGGTAATACTAATTAAAGTCATTGATTTTGTTGAACAAAGTTCAGTTGCTGAATTCCTTCGTTGATTTTCCAGGCTTACTAAATCCATTGGATTGCCCACATCACGTCCGTCAAGATGAGAAGAGCCAATTTCGGGAAGGCGTTGTCACTGATAAAAAACCAAAAAATGGCGAAGGCTCTCTAGTCAACGCTGGTCTCACAAAGGTAATTTGAAAAGGCCGCTTGTTTAATACAACTAAATTCATGTTACCCTCTCTTCATTGCAGTACGTAATAATTGATCGATTGATTAAACCAGGAATACGCGTCACACTGGACATGGATAACTACAAAACCGGTACCTAACCATCTTAACACCCGATTCGTCTTGTCGCAATAAATAATTATGATTTATTTTTAAGATGGTCAATACATCAGAGCCAAAGTCGTGTCACCCAAAGTTCCCCGACAAAATGGGTTATACTGGGGATATCAAGTTCGTATAGCGAATTCAATATCAAAAGTCTTTACTGAATGTCAATATCCAGTTAGTACTCTTTTTTCCTTTTC